AGTGGGGACAGTGAGGCAGTGACGGTGAGAGTGGGGACGGTGAGGCAGTGACAGTGAAAGTGGGGACGGTAAGGCAGTGACGGTGAGAGTGGGGACGGTGAGGCAGTGACGGTGAGAGTGGGGACGGTGAGGCAGTGACAGTGAGAGGGGGGCCATTGAGGCAGACGGTGAGAGTGGGGCCAGTGAGAGGGCAGTGGTCAGTGGTGTGAATGGGCCTTTCGCATGGCATTGGCGTTTGGCCTCCTGGGTGTCCCAGCGATTGGAACGGTGCCTACACCATTGCGACAGTGGGACTTGCAACTCTGAGATCTGGGCTTTTCTTTTCTTCCATACCTTTTGGCTTCGTTAAATCTTTTAATTCTAGTTTTTGTAACCAAGTGGGTGCTAGTGAATGAAGTGAATTCACTGTACTTATGTCTAATAATGAAACTGATTGTTTCATCGAGTAAAGTTTTTCATTTCTCCAGTTTTGTGATTACAACATAAAATGCAATCCTTGTCATGAACACTGATCTATATAAGATTACCATTTTAAAAAGAACCTTTAACTCAAAGTAAAGCCTAAAAGGCTGGATACACACTTTGGCTTCAAAAATGTTTGAGTTGCCATGGAGAGAAATTTAAACAGAAATCCATTGAAGTCTCACTGCCTTTGATCCAGAAGCAGTAAGGAAAAATAGTACTTACTTTAAAATGTTTGGGGAATTTGTAAATGTTGTAATTGTAAAGGGATCTATTAGAAATGTTGGGTAAGAACACTGGTCATGTGGCCTGGTAATCCTTGACTTGAGACTAGTATCAACAGGAAGCATATTTTCATATGGAAGCCATGTGGTGCACAGACAAAACGATAAATGAGAAGAGGTGGAGAGAGATGTTCTGATAGATTTGGATAGCTATCATGGCCAGTAGAACTTTGAGTTCAGAAGGTTCTGGAAAGAATTGTACCTTTTAGGGAAGATTGTTTACATCAAAGGTGCTGAGAATCAGTTAAGTTCTTGATGGAAAACGACTAGAATTTTACGTAGAAGGGCCATGTGGGTGATACCATAAACAGAAACTACTACAAATGATATAGTCTTTACTGCATCTGCTACTCCATGTGCAAGCATGTCTTGCTTATTAATTCATGTTTGATTCATATTGATTCTGATAGGTGTTAAAGTAAAAATAACAAAAAGCTTAATTGAAGGGTGGTCACTCAAAAAAATTGACACTTTAGTTTATAGATTCCCATTTGGATTGTGACACTCTAAATGCCCAATTACAGACCTTTCTTTTGCAAAGTTATCAAATTAATTTTATTCCATAAAGCATCCCCTCTGAAACTGGCATATTTGGCTCTGTTAGAAGTTTACACATTTCATTGAGATCTCCTCTCATTCTGCTAAACTCTAGAGAGTACAGGCCCAGTCAATCAATCTCTCCTCAGGGATTGCCATCCCCAGTATCAGCCCAGCGAACCTTCACTGCACTCCTTCCACGTCAAGTACATCCTTTCTCAAGCAGGAAGACCAAATCTGCTAGCCAAGCTGTTTGCTCCATGGAGGTGGTCTACAGCCTTGTGAATCTGGTAGAGTATAATCTCAAAAGGAGAGAGTTTGGGCTGCTCGGTGGTGAACAGTCATTGGGGCATTCAAAGTTCAAGCTTGAAACTACTTACATGCCAAAGAAGAAGGAGAATGGCCTCCAGGCCACATATGAGTTGTCATTTAGTGATTTCTGAGGCTAGATATTCAAAAGTGAAAAACTGAAACTCCTTGCAAAACGGGCATGTTTTTATCGAGATTTGGTAATGCGAAGTGTTTGGATCGATCACTGAGAAATACATGGAACAGACTTCTTTTAACCACTTATGCCATTCAGTGTGTTTTGGAGGATGTTCAAACAGTTTGTCTGTTAAACCATGCTTACCTCAGGTTAATTATTGATACTAAAGTATAAGTTGTATCTTGTAAATTATTTTACTTTATGGCTTCTACGGTAAAGTATTTTGTTTTGTTTGTAAAAAAATCTTTGAATTTTAAGTCTTTATTCTCCAAGTACCTGGGAATTTAAACTTTCTCTACTTTGAAGAAAAATAATTTATTACTTTGTAATCAGATTGTAGCATAGGTTTAGTGTCCTTGACTGGAATTCTAACGATATATATCAAAAATACAATGGTCCTATAGCTGACCCTTGACAACCCCCACTATCTGCCATCCTGCATCCTAGAAAAAAAGACCTTAATCACAAATTGGTGTTTACTGTCTTGAATTTTTTTCTTTTATCCAAGCTGGTATGATCCTCCTATGTCATGAGACTCAAGTTTGTTGATTAGCCTTTGATGCGTGTATCAGTATAAATACCAAAATAAAGCCATTAGCCACGAGAACATTAAAGAAACTTTTCCTACCTTTCAACAAATATCCCAGCCTGTACCGCATGCACAATACTGCGGAACCTTGGCTTTTCCTCTGTTCGCTTCAGCATCAACCCCATTTGTTTTGTAAAAGTAGAAGCCAGCCAGTCACGGACTTCCGATGGAACAGATTCAGACTGGATATTGCTGAGTTCATCCTCCGTATCCAGGAGGTGCCTGTGTTTGGAGGAGAAAAAATAAGACAGGTTCTTTTGAACATACAGGTGCTAATTCCTTCATGTAAAAGACTTTTTATCCTGAATATTCTTTTTGAGGTGGTCAGACACTTTGCAACATGAATAATGCACAACGTACAGGTGTGATATTTTCTGTAATAAAAGTTGATATACAAGAAATCAATTCAAATTTGAATTAAAGTTAAATATGACAAGTTGCTTTTTCACAATAGATAATCAAGTGAGTTCAACAAAATGATTTTGCCTTTTGTGTCTTTCATCTGCCTTCTGTCTGCCAAGTGTCTTTCCTCTCTCTGAGCTTGCTTTTGACAGTACTGTGGAGTTTTGGAGGGCACCAACCTTGGATAATGATGATTTGTCATTGCCTACCTATGGATTTGCCAGTGCTTTTTCAGCCTTTCTGTCACTAAAAGATGATGCCTAAGGTAAGGCTTTTACTGTATATGGAATAGACAAAATAAAAATGAACATTTTCCAATGGCTGAAGTGTTGATATTCAGAGGGTGCAAGTGTTAGATGACTAGCAGAAGACCTACAAACAACCTGAGCAGAACCTTTAAGGCAAGGGATTAGATAAATATTTGAAGAAGAAAATATTGTTGTGAAGGTGCAAGGCACTGAAACTTACTGGATTTATCTTCTAAAGAACTATTCAGTCACAGTCAAATAATTGTTCTCCTTTTGAGCCATGATGGTGTTTAAAAGCAATTTCATGGCAACTAGCAAGTGACTGTCATCAGTGTGCGTTCCCTTACAATGGTGTCATCAGTGTGCGTTCCCTTACAATGGTGTCATCAGTGTGCATTCCCTTACAATGGTGTCATCAGGCACAGGAATGTCATCAAACAGGACACGCATGGAACAAAAACCACTTGCCACACTCACCGCTGGACTGACCACCCTTACATCATTTCAAAGCTAATCCCGTATTTTCAAAATGACCCCGGGTTATGAAGTTCATAAGTGTCTCAATGTCTCAAGCTTCAAACATGGAGAAATCCTTCTCAAAGAAACTGGCGAGTTTGATGTGCACTTGAAAATGGATGTGCACCAAGGATGACTGGGTGACATTTGGTGATATAGTGTAATCTACTGCTCTAGAAATACTTAGCCCTACCTCTTATCAGCATTAGGTTTGGTTGGGTGAAAACAATGAGGTCATCAAGAAAGTTCTGGGGAAGGAATATCCACTGTCTAAGTTTTACCTCAATGACAAATCACTATTACTCAAGGATGATGCCTCCAAAACATCTACAGTACTGTCAAAACCAATCTCACAGAGAGGAAGACACTTGGCTGAATCAGAAAGCAAATGGACCTCAATCATATGCAAACCACACAGATTGGAAGAGGTTCTACAATGCTCTGAAACTTGTCTATGTTTCCAGTCTCTGGTTCATCCACAATCCTCAGTCCTGATAGGCTAACAGAGGTCATGGACAAAATCCAAATTTCATAGGCAAAGCACAAAGCACTGTATAGGAAGGATGTTGTGAAACTTGAAAGGGTTCAGAAAGGATTAGCAAGGATGTTGTCAGGGTTGGAGGGTTTGAACTATAGGGAGAGGCTGAATTGGCTGGGGCTATTTATCCCAGAGTGTCAGGGGCTGAGGTTTATAGAGGTTATATAAAACCTTATAGAGGTTTATAAAATCATGAGGGGCATGGATAGGGTAAATAGACAAGGTCTTTCCCCAGGGTGGGGGAGTCCAAAACTAGAGGGGATAGGTTTAAGGTGAGAGGTGAAAGATTTAAAAGGGAGCTAAGGGACAACTTTTTCACGGAGAGGGTGGTGCGTGTATGGAATGAGCTGCCAGAGGAAGTGGTGGAGGCTGGTACAGCTACAACATTTAAAAGGCATCTGGATGGGTATATGAATAGGAAGGGTTTAGATGGATTTGGGGCAAATGCTGGCAAATGGGACGAGATTTTTTTAGGATACTGGTTAGCACAGATGAGTCGGACCAAAGGGTCTGTTTTCCATGCTGTGTATCTCTATGACTCTATATCTTTCATCAAAAAGAGAAACAATCACTAGGGTCCCACAAATTGTCATCAACTGCTCTCTTACTGACAATCCCAAGCAATTATAAAACGCAAATACAGTGAAACACATGTCGAGAGGCAAGCCCCAGGAGCTGGTAGCATCTCAGCAGGACTGCAGGTCCACGCCTGGTCAAGAAACTCACTGAATTCTTTCAGTGGAATGACCGAACCATTCCATAAGAATACAAAGATACCTCTACTGACCACCTATCCAAGCGGAAAACAGCTCACCAATCTTGCATCAATCATCACATGATCTTAATCCTCTCTGGCAAAATCTTCCACAGCATCCCTTTGAGCCACTTTGTTCACCATCTCATTGGGATGTGCTGCCAGAGAGGTAGTGCAGTTTCAGGAAGGGTTAAGGAACTACGGATATGGTGTTTGGATTTGGATAGCACAAGGAGAAATGGCAAGAACAGGACATGGATATCTACATCATGTTTGTTGACCTGACCAAGGTCTTTGATACAATCAGTCATAAGGGCCTTTAGAAGGTAATGGAAAATTTGTTTGTCCTGAGATATTCATCACAATAGGTCAACAGTGATAATGCTGTGACATTGTCAGTTCCCTGTCAGCATGCTCACGTGTATCCTGGATGACAGTGAGTTTTCTGACCAATTCTCAGCATCACAAAGTTAAATAGGACTGAATACTAACGCTAACCCTCTTGAGCCTGTTTTTCTCCTCATGCTCTCTGATGTCTTCAACAATGGTGACCCTGGCATCGAAATTAGATTGTGCATGGACACGAAGCCCCTCAAACTGAGATGACTCCAGATGAAGAACAAAAAAAATTCTCCAAAGTCATGTTTTACGATTTTCTGTTTACCATTGACTGTGCATTAGCCTCCAGTTCAGAGCTGGACACGTACTATATCATGGGCTTGCTCTACAATTCATGCCACAATCTGATCAGCATGAGAAAAACCGAAGGAATACACCTGGAAACCCCTATCTCAAACCTAAATCCACGGTCCTCACCTGTCAGCAGCAAGATAAGTTCATTTATCTAAACAGCACACACTCTCAAATACCAATGACAAGACATTAGCAGTAATTGGCAAAACAAACGTAGCCTTCAGCACACCTCGAACATGAATCTGGGAATGAAGAAGAATAAGACTGCCTACCCAACTGAAGGTTTATCAAGCAATAGCCCTGTTCACTCTGCTCTATGTATGTGAGACTTGGGCTGTGTACCAGCATCATGCCAAGAAAACGAAATAGTTTCACCTGAAGACCTCTGAAAACTTCTGAAGATCAGATCACAGGATGAAGTACCCGGTCACTGAGGTGTTCACTAGAGCCAGCATGCCAAGTGTCCACATCATATGGGAATAGTCACAACTGAACTGGAATCATTATGTTGGTAGAATGCCTGTCAGTTCTTATATAAGCTTTAACTCTAGGATATACTTTCAAGGCAGTCAGAGGAAGCGCTGCAACATCACTCTGGAGGTTATCACCCAGGAATTTTGATATTAACTTTGATTCTAGGGAGAAAATTACCCAGGATTGCTGCATACAGCACAGCCAAACTAAAAAGAAATCAGTTCCACCCCTTTCAAAAGTTTGTCCAGGTTGGAGGCAGATAGAAATATTAGGGCAGGAAATACGAGATCAGAAATTCAGTCACTGAGGTATATGCCTTATTTTCAACAGAAACGTTTGGGTGTAGTTCAGCTTTAATAATCATCTGCATACCCTTCGGCATCCTACCAAGGAGTCCAGGAAGACAGTCATCTCTGCCACAAAGAATGAATACCAAATATTCAATTATTCATTTCACATGTAATGTCAAATCCATGCTTTAATGTGCAGTCTCAAAAAAACTTGTGAATGTCTGCTAACTATGGAAAATAAATAAAAGCCAAATATTGCAAAAATGCTGGAGATCTTAAATTAAAAACAAAATGTGCCGGAGAAACTCACTAGATCTGGCAGCATTTGTGAAGGGAGCAATTGGGTGAACATTGACTTCTTCAGAACAGAGGAGCAAATTGCGAGGGTTGTGAATCGAATGCCTGAAGGGGGAACAGTTTATTATGACAGTTGATCATGTTTCCAGACTAAAGTAGCCCGCTCTGTTGGCTTGAAGATGAAGCAGCTTTTTCTGAGTACAGTGTGAAGCTGTATTGATGCACAAATTGTAACTGAAAGCACTTGAGAAATAAACTCATGGTTGAGTAGAGGTAAGTCGTGGAATTGGCTCTGTAATTTATCAAAGTCATGGCTCATGGAGAAATATATTTGAGCTGATCTTGATCTTTCTCTGCACCTTCTCTGTAGCTGTAACACTATATTCTGTTCTATTAACCTGATGTACTTATATAAGGGATGATTTGTCTGGTTAGCACACAAAACAATAATTTTCACAAAATCACAGCACGTGACAATAAAGAATCAAATCAAATTTCTTTCTTTTTGTTATGCCTGAAATGATTAGGTCAAACCACTACTGTGAGGTTTTCATTGTCTGGCGAATCCTGTACTCTACTACATTGGACTGGTCAACATTATGTACACTACTGTCTTCTTTTTAGAAGTTCCTCATGTTAAAATGAAATATCTTAATTAACATTATACATCCAATCTATATACCTTTGTAAGGGAACTTGCTCAATAGTTGAAAATCTTTCTGCATTCATATTACTGTCTTTAAAATTCTAAGTAGCCTGGATATATCAGGCTTGATTTTGAGTTCCTAGCACTTTAGAAATTGGCCCTTCCACCCAAACAGGTCCAAGCAAACCAAAATGTCCATCCATGTTAATCCCTTTACCCTGCACTTGGCTCATGTCCTTCTAAACTTTTTCTATCCATGTATTCGTCCAAGTACCTTTTCAACGTTGTTAACGTACCCGCCTCGACCACTTCCACTGGCAGCTCATTCCCTATGCGTACCACCCTCTGTGTAAAAATGTTGCCCCTCAGGTTCTCATGTATTCTTTCCCCTCTTACCTTAAACAGATATGCTCTTGTCCTCGATTCCCCAAACCTGGGAAAAAGACTGAGTGCATTCACCCTATCCATGCGTCTCATGATCTTATACACTTTTATAAGATCCCCCCTCAGTGTCCTATACTCTAAAAAAAGTCCTAGCTTGTCCAACCTCTCCTTATAACTCAGTCCTGGTAACATCCTTGTAAATTTCTTCTGCACTTTTTCCAGTTTAATAACATCCTTCCTATAGCAAGATGACCAAAACGGAACACAATACTCCAAGTGCGGCCTCACCAATGTCCTGTACAACTGCAACATAACTTCCCAACTTCTACACTCAATACCCTGACTGATCAAGGCCAATGTGCCAAAAGCCTTCTTCACTGCCCTGTCTACCTGGGACTCCACTTTCAGAGAACCGTGCACCTACACTCCAAGGTCCCTCTGCTCCACAACACTCCTTAAGGCCCGACCACTCACCATGAAACTCCTACCTCAATTTGACTTTCCAAAATGCAACACCTCACACTTATCTATATTAAACTCCACATGCTATTTCTCGGCCCACTTCCCCAGCTGATCAAGATCGTGCTGCAATTTCTGATTACCTTCCTCACTGTCCACGATGCCTCCTATTTTAGTGTCATCCACAAACTTACTAATCATGCCTTGTACATTCTCATCCAAATCATTGATATAGATAACAAACAGCAATGAGCCCAATACTGACCCCTGACGCACACCACTAGTCACAAGTGCAGCACTAATTACCAGCATGCAGAAAATCCAAAAGTATTTCAATTTACCAGCCAAGGGCTTTTTAACTCAACCAATGCACTGTGAACTCATTTCCGCAGAATTAGCCTGAACGGGCATGGTGACGGCACACTTGAGTCAATTTCAACTCCAGCGTTTAAAGGGACTCCTCAAATGAGCAAGTTGATGGGTTTGAGACTCAGGAGTACGACAGCAGCAATGAGAGGAATGCTGAGCCGACATCTGAAAGCTGCCACTTGTTTTAGTGATTTCTCTCGAGATATGATGCTGAGGGCTGTAAAGGTTTGCAAGAAAATTTTGCCTCACACTGACAGGAATAAAAAGATTGCTAGAGAAATAAATGTGGTTGAAGGCTATCCATGTGGTTAGCTGTGGTTTCATGTGAATGCATCCAGTGCTACAAATGGTTTAATGACCTCAAAGGGCCAGAACATTGAATACAGTGGCACATTCACCAAGATCATAATGTGCAAATTGTTGCAAATATCTACTTCATAATTCATATGCTTCAGAATATAGTTTTTAGTTTTAGGAATTAATGTTTTAACTTTAGATAAGTCAAGAGAAGGGAAGGTGGTGGCATTGGTAAATGTCACTAGGCTATTAATCCATGCTAACGTTCTGGGGACATGGGTTTGAATCCCATCATTGCGGAAGGTGATGTTTGAATCCAATAAGATTCTGAAATTTATTGCTTGTCTGATGATAACCATGTAACTACTGCCCAATGTCATCAATTTCTATCTGGATCGCTAATATCCTTTAGAGGAGGAAATCTGCCACTCTCACCTGGTCTGGACAACACATGACTCCAGATCCACAAACATGTGGTTGGCTCCTGACTGTCAATCTCTTAATTCTTAACAGTTAGGGACTGGAAATAAATGATGGCCTAGCTAGCACATCCACACTCCACGATCGAATAAAGAAAATCATCTGGTTAAGAAATTCGTAGACATCTTAAGCAAATGCAAGTCAAACTAGCTTGGAATTTTATGATTAAAAGCGAGCCTATGTCTATCTTATAAAGTCAGAGGAAGAAGTGTAAAACAATTGAACAATTAACAATCCATCCCTTGGCTTTTAATGAATCCAGAAAAAGATTTACCCTTATTTCAGCAAAATACTTAAAGGGTTTATGTAATTTCAAGAGGAAAGAAATTGGAAGCCAGTTATAATCAAGAGATTTCCTCGATAAGGACAGAAATTATGAAAAAAGGGCTGTAAATTGGAGGAGGCACACTTCATATTCCGCCTCAGGAGCCTACAGCCCAATGGCCTTAACATGGAATTCACCAGTTTCAAAATCTCGCCAATCCTGGCCTCATCACATGTCCAACCCTCCCTCTCATCCCTGCCCCCTTGATCTGACACAACCTATCCATCTTCTTCCCCATCTATTCACCCCACCCTTCCCGCGGACCAATCCCCACTACCCCCACCTGCATCCAACCTAGCACCACCTCACCTACCTTTCCCTAGCCTCACGCACCCTCCCTCCCGCCTCCATGACCGACACAACCTGTCCATCTTCTCTCCCACCTATCCACCCCACCCATCCCACTGACCACTCGCCACCATTCCGCACCTGCATTCACCTATCACCAAGCCAACTACCTTCTCCAACCCCACCCCTCCTCTCTCTATTTATTTCCCAGCTCCCTTCCCTCTTCCCTATTTCTGAAGAAGGATGCCGACCCAAAATGTCAGCTTTCCTGCTCCTCTGATACTGCCTGGCCTGCTGTGTTCCTCCAGCTCTACACCTTGTTATCTCTATCTCCAGCATCTGCAGTTCTTACTATCTCCCTGTAAATTCCATTAGCAATCTAAATTTTTCACTTCAGTGACAGAATTGAAGAGGCATGTTAAAGGTCGATAATTCATTTACATTGTTATTTGAGACCTTTAAAGCATCAGATTCCTTGAAGGAGAAATGAGTTTAGAACATGAGGAAGAAGCAGAAAACTGAAAGTGACTATCCAATCACCTCATAACGAATGCCCTCAGAGGAAGGGATTCAGGAGGCTTGGCCATTAGAGATAGGCAAATGTGAGCCCCCAGCTACATGATGATAGAATTAAATATCAGACATGAGCATAACGTGCAAAACTCAGCCACAGTAACTTGAAGTTAGCCATGGGTGAAACTGGAGAAAAGCTAATTTTACTCAGGTGATAAATGCGATTTAGCTAGACAGCTACAGCTGAATGTGGTAGGCAGAATAAAAACAACTACATTTTAAACTACTTTTGAAATATTTTAAAATAAATTTAAAATACATTCTATAATATTTCAAGGTCTCCCCAATATGTTTCAAAGTTTTCTACTATTCCCTTGAATAATCCCTGGCGATTTTATCTACAGTTGGACAGAAACAGAAACAGCCCTTTTAACCTGATGACTGTGGTCACGGCCTGAATCCACTACAAGTGCAGGATTGTTGATGAGCGTGGTAGAACTAACTCCAGACCATTTAAGAACTTAGCCCCAGGAAATCCCACTTCCTGGCAAGACATGGTCGAGTTTTATTTGGACAGTGATTGAAGCAAAGATCTGTAGTAACATTGTCCACCTGCAGTTTGGGTAATGCTACTATCTACTTCAGACAGCATTGGAACAAAAAAAAATTCTAAAATTGCAACAAAAACTTACAGGGAGCTTTCGGGCAGAGGGAAGAGAAATTCAACTTGGACAGCGGTGTAAAAGGGTGATATCAGATCACTCGTTCTCAATAAACTGAGCCTGTTATTTCATTTCCATGGCAGTCAAGGAAATTAAATAACAGGCAATGTGTATACCAGTCAGACCATCCAACACAGCCTGTTCTGCACCACTTTCCAAGGTGACTTTCCACTCTAGAAACTCCTGACAGTGAGGCTGAAGTCTAGCACAAAAAGATTAACAGTCCCATGATGTGGTTTGTATACATACCGTGTCTCATCAATGTAGACTGTCTCAAGCACTGTAGCTGCATAGTCTAAATTCTTCTTCAGGTCTGAGACTGAAGCTTCACCTCGCTCCAGCTGTTTGACCAAGGTTCGCAATCTAGAATCAAACAAAAAAAGTATTATATTAGTTAAACTCCACAAAGTAGAGGAAGAAAAAGCAATTTGTATATGTATGTAATGAATAAATTATTTGATTGCCGTCTATCACTCTAAACGTAGAGGTAATTTCTATGTGGGTCTGTGTCCCTTTGTGCTTGCCCGACAGTGTAATTTGAAGTTCCACAGTGAAGTTTGTAGGTAATCTCATGGTTTAAGACATTTGTCCTATTACCTGAGCAGCCAAGACATGACACTCAGTTTAAAGCAAATGTTTTCAATTGCAATAGCCATGTATGATATACAATCAAGAAAATGATTAAAGCTGTTTTGTGCTGTCATGTTACTGCAGTAGTATTATTCCTGGAGGATTTTTAATTTTGTTGTGATGTCCATGACATTTTGCAATATTTATTGCAAGGACTGACACTGCGATTCTGCACACCGACAACAGAGTGGCTCTTGTTATGGAGCATGGAATTGGAGATTGGACTGTAACATGAAACTCTGATTTGATGATCCATAATTCCTGGGAGAACAGGATTTTATGACTATCATCTGTAAAGTACAATACATAATAACATAAATCACTATAAAGTAATCGCATTTAACCTACCAGTACAAACACCTAATATCAGTTCTGAGCAGGCTCACCTGAAACTAAATCCACCATCAGCAAGTTTAACACTAAAAACAGATACAAAAGAATTTGGTACAAAGGGCCATACTTCTGCATTTGGCCCTTTAAAAATGGCAGGTGGAGACGCAGACAAGAAAGTTTGACTCCACATCATCCCACCACCACCCCCCCAAACTAACAGGTTATCTTATCCCCAAAAGGAGAAAGAGGCTGGGTGTGACTCACATAGGCAAGAAACCTAAACCTAACAAGGCCATTTAAACTCATGCTCAGTCCAAAAATATTACTTCAGGTGACCTGTCTGAAACATATGATTCTGAAGAATGTTGACAGGTAGATGTGGAGAGATGTCAGAGAATCTAGAACTAGGCATCACTGTTTAAAAATCAGGAAACACCCATTTAAAACAGAGATTTTTTCTGTCTTTGAGACAGATGCAGTTTTTGGAATTTTCTTCCTCAGAATATAGAAGGCATGGTTAGTAAGTATGTGGAGGACACCAAAATTGGTGACATAGCAGACAGTGAAGGAGGTTTTCTAAGATTACAAAGGGATTCTGATCAAATGGGTCTATGGGCTGAAAAATGGCAGAGTGAGTTCAATCTGGATAAATGCGAGGTATTGCATTTTGGTTCAACAAACAAGGGTAGGGCTTATACAATTAATGGTAGAGCCTTGGGTAGTGTTGTAAAGTAGAGGGACCTAGGGGTGCGGGTACATAATTCTTTGAAGTTTGCACCACTTTTAGACAGGGTGGTTTAAAAGGCGTTAGGCACACTTGCCTTCATTGCTCAGTCCTTTAAACATAGAAGTTGGGAAGCCATGTTGAGGTTGTACAGGACATTGGTAAGACCTCTTCTGGAATACTGTGTCCAGTTCTGGTCGCCCAGTTATAGGAAGGATATTATCAAGCTGGAGGGGGCTCAGACGAGATGTACCAGGATGTTGCCGGGTGTGGAAAGTTTGAGTTATAAAGAAAGGCTGGGACTTTTTCCACTGGAGCGTAGGAAGTTGAGAGGCGACCTGATAGAAGTTTATAAAATAATGAGAGGTATAGACAGAGTTAATGGTAGTTGTCTTTTCCCTAGGATGGGGGATTTCAAGACTAGGGGGCACATTTTTAAGGTGAGAGGAGAGAGATTTAAAAAAGGCATTAGAGGCAAACTTTTTACAGAGGGCGGTTCTGGTGTGGAATGAACTTACTGAGAAAGTAGTGGATGAGGGTACAATTACAATGTTAAAAAGGCATTTGGATAAGTACATGAAGAGGAAAAGTTAGGAGGGATATGGGCCGGGAGCAGGCAGGTGGGACTGGTTTAGTTTGGAATTATATCGGTATGGACTGGTTAAACTGAAGGGTCTGTTTCCATGCTGTATGACCATATTAAAAAGATGGCAGATGCAGAATCCTTGAATATTTTTCAGCAGATGTGACAGATTCTTATTAAGCAAAGCAGTGATAGGTTATCAGAAGAAAACAGGATTGTAGATTGATGTTACAATCAGATCAGTAAAGATCGTATGGAATGGTGGAGCAGGTTCGAAAGGTTGAGTCCACACTGATCCTCCGAAGAGCATCCCACCTTATCCCTGTAACCCCGCATTTCACATGGCTAAACCACCTAGCCTGCACATCTTTGGACTGTGGGACAAAACCAGAGCACCCAGAGGAAACCCACGCAGACAAGGGGCGAATGTGCAAATTCCACACAGTCACCTGAGGGTAGAATTGAACCCCCAGTCCCTGGTGCTGTGAGGCTACAGTGCTAACCACTGAGCCACTATGCCGCTCCACAGGATTAATCACGTGAGATTTCAAACTTAGGAAGGCTCTGTAAATGGGAGATTTTCGCTATCAAATGTGTAGGTCTGAGAGCTGTATTAGATTGTAAGTTTTTTTTTCCATCTCTGCATAGTTTTGAGACCTGTCATGGTGGATATTGAGCGAATCGCTCGTGTAGTGACCTTGAGAGGCTAAGATGACATGGAGGATGAGTTGGGATCATGAGTTGGCATTAGGTTATCAAGGAGTGTCTGATGGGACTTAGGGGTTAGGGTTTGGGTTAAGATTAGGGTTAGGGATGGAAGGTAAGGTGTGAAGGCTTGAGGATCTAACAATATCTGAAACAACTGAATGGAAATTTCAGGGAATCATGACAAGCCCTCTAACTGTCTGTCAGAGCACTCAGCTATCCCAAGGCTGTTGAATCACTGCTACAAACTTTGGTAAGTCAAACTCCACTCCACACCTCCAGGGTGGAATTCATTGAAGTGGGTCTGGCAAGCTTGGAAATTTCCTACCTTGATCTACCCACATCAGGAGCAAAAGTCCTATGGAAAATAGATAAAGATAAATGCAATTATATAAATAAGAATCATCAAATAAAGGTAAGGTAAGATCGCCATAATCTCAGAAGACGATAGGGCTGTTATGTCATGAGAAAGAGACAACTGGTGGCGGGGACAGAGGTTGGGAAGGACAGTCATTCATAGTAATGTCAGCTATGAGCAGCAGTCTGCATTATAAACCAGTCCTCCAGCCAACCAACCATGTAAAGATTCAAATTTTAAATGTTAGCTTCAGAAAATGCAAATTAGGTTGAAAACCTATTCTGAAAATATTCTATAATAGTGGCTCAGTGCAACGTTTTTGGAGCTCTTTTAATCAGTAAAAGATTCACTTTGCATGTGTAAAAAATTGCTGTTCCTCCACATTCAGCTAAACTGTTCCCCATATTTTCCATCTAATGCATTATTCTTCCAAAGCATCAAAATAACTATATCAGCTTGGTTCGCAAATCATTACACCCTTGGAGATCCTAACTAATGTAGTTCCTGGGTAACTATTCCCAGCCTCTGACTTGCCCTGTAGCCAGAGCATTTGTAATCGGTGTTCCAATTCTGTTTCTTGTCAACATTAAGTTGCAGTATGTTTATGTTGGAACATCCAGCAGTGGCAACGCTACTGAATATTCCATTAACAAAATAGAAACAGGATATTTTAGCAATCAGAATGAAATCAAGCAAAATTAACTCTGTATGAAATGGAAAATGCATTTAGCAGACTTATTAGAGTTCTTTGAAGAGTATAACAGGGAGGAAAATAAAAGTAAAATCAGTATGTGTCGTACATTTGCATTTCCAAACAACATTCAATAGGGCGCCTCACTAAAATTAATGCAGAGGAAAAAAGCTTATCATGTACGTGATGATATATTAGCATTGTAAAGGATTGATTATCTGGAAAATGAGATAAATGGAACACTTGTCACGTTGCAAACTGTACCACAAAGGTTGGTTCTGGAGTCTCAACATTTTACAATCTGCGTTAATGGCAAGGATGAGGGGAATAACTGCAACATACTTAAATTTGGTGAAGGTAAACAGATAGATACTGAAGTGAGTAGTTATGAGGACATAGAAGCTGTAAAGAGATATGGATAAAAATTAGTTGACACAAATTTGGCAGATTAAGCATAATGTGGGAATGCGTGAGATTGTCCATTTTGGAAGAGTAGAAAAGCAGAATATTATTTCAGTAGGGAAAGACTACAGATTGCTACAATACAGAACAATCTGGATATCAATTTACAAGAAGCACAAAAGGTTAGAATGCAGGTACACTGTAATTAAGAGAAATAGAAGGTTAGCCTTTACACAATGTGAATAAAATCCTTGCTACAATTATATATACCATTGCTGTAACCACGCCTAAAGTTTCGTGTGCAGTCTTGCTCTCCTGATTCAAAGAGGGTCATCTTGCATCAGAAGAAGTTCAGAGAAAGCCCATTAAAATGATTCCTGAGACGAAGTAGGATGAGATGATGAGCAGGCCAGGCCTGTACTCATTGGGCTTTAGAAGAACGAGAGGTGATCATATATCACCTAACGACATGCAACAAGATAAATATGGCAGGAACTTTCCTCTTGCGAATTGAGAATTTGAAACGAGAGGGTATACTTTAAAAGCAGAGTATCCCAGAGATGAGCAGTATTTTCTTATTCAGGATTCTCTTCCTCAGTTGGGTGACTGAACAGGTTTAACCCCTCCCCCACAGCCCCACGGCACCTGCCCCTGGAACAGGCGAAGGTGCAACACCTGCCCATTTACCTCCTCCCTCCCCAGTATCCAAGGGCCCAAACATACCTTCCAGGTGAAGCAACACTTCACCTGCACTTCCCAGAATCTGGTTTACTGCATTCGCTGCTCACAATGTGGTCTCCTCTACATTGGGGAAACGAAGCATAGACTGGGTGACTGCTTCGCAGAACATCTATGTTCTGCTCGCAAATAAGTCCCTAAGCTTCCAGTCATCTGCAACTTTAACGCACCACCCTTTCCCTGGCCAACATCTCTATCT